AAGTGATCTAGGAGCGTGTAGGAGATTACGAGCCCAACTTCATATGGTCACATTCCAAGCTTGAAGTTGCTTTTGAAGGAGTATTGTGTAGAAATTGCCTAGCCTTGGCCTGGTCGTGGCTTATTGCATTAAGCTTTGTCCTGGTCGTGGCTCCTCTTTTTATGCCCAAGAGAAGCCTACCAAGATCAGTAGACACCACGGGTTGGCCGTGGCAAAGTCCCAGCAGCTTTGGGTAACCCGTGGCTATCACCTGACGAAGCGTCAAAGCCAAGTTTGAGGCGGTTTGGAAGACCTATTTTAGGAAACTTCTTTACTTATTCCTAAGGATATAAACAGGTTTTGGCTAGGCATATTAGACCACTTTTTGGACTCGTTAAATTGAGTTGAAGAATTCTACAATTCCCTTCAATTTTAGATTTACTTTGTTCAAGATTTCATCTTCAATTCCATTAATTCAAGTATTTCTTCTTTCCTATATTATTATGTCTTTTGATTATTTTGTTAATTTAATCATGAGTGAGTAGATTTATATTCTAAGGTTAGGTTGAACCCTAATTATGAGTAATCCATGATTTCCCCCAATTCCTTATTTAATTAGATTAATTGCTTTGTTTATTGAATTGTGCTAATTTATCAATGTTAGGATAGACGTAATTTGATATTGATTGAACCAAGTATTTTATTTATCAATGGAAGTTGAGATTAGATGGTTTGATTAAATTCAATAAGGGCATGAAATTCTCCATGGAAATAGGTAGGATGGATTGCTAGGATTGTATGGATGTTGAATTTAATGTCTCTAAATTGCATGATACCATGGAAATAGGTTTGATTGGATTTTAGAGAAGCCATAAATACTCGAAAGAGGTTTATTGGTATTTTCAAGGGCACGTCCTTCCTTTGAGTATTATTATTTTGATTAATTGGGGTAGGGATTTATCTTTGCATTATTCATACTAGTGGTGATACTTAACTCTGGATGTTTTTATTAATTGATTTATTTCATCTTGATTCTTCTAATTTATTTTGTTTAGAATTAGATTAGTTGAATATCACTATTGATTGGTTACTTGCTTAGTAGTTACTTGAGTTTAATTAATTAGTTGAACCATAGTCCCTTGCATTGGGATCCGACCTTACCTGTCCGTCTACATAGTAGTGGTATTTTTAGGTTATTTTGTTAGGTACACGACATGCCTATCATGTTTTATTTTGTGCGTTTATGTGTGTGTATGTGTGTGTGTGTGTGTGTTTTTTGTTCAATGTGGGTTTTGTTTGATTTTTGTTGTTTTGTTTTGGATTTTTGTTTGTCAAATTTTGTGGGTTAGTTTAGGGTGGTGGGGGGTAAAGGTTGTTAAGGGTGAGATGCCGGTGGTGGTAAAAGATTCTGGTGGGGTGTATGGCAGTGGGATGGGCTGGGCTGGGTAGTACATTAATTTTTTTTTAATAATTTTTGCGACCGCCAAGACAGTTGCAAATCTGAATTTTTTGCGACCGGCCAGAAAAACAGTCGTAATGAATAAAAATTTGATACCGTTTTTTAACCAGACATTGAAAATTAGGAAAACGACCGCTAAAAAATCTGCAATCGTTAACCGGTCGTAACATGAAAATTACGAACAGCTTGTTGCGACCGTTGACGGCCGCAAATACTATTAGCGATCGTTTTCCTTGAGACGGTCGCAAAAACCTTCATTTTTAGGTGTGGTATAACTTTTTGGAGGATATGTATTATTTGATGGATGATATGTACAATTTATTAGAGGGTATATATTACTTGATGGGGGATATGTATGTATAATTTGTTAGATGATATATATTATTTGATAGAGGATATTGTTTGATAGATGATATACATTTTCCTTTAATTTATTGTCGAGGTAATAGAGGAGATATCATCCATCGTATAGATAATATTATAAACACAATACATGATATCATTTAACTTATGGAGGATATCCTCCAACTTATAAATGATATCATCCAACTTATAGATGATATAATCTACATAATATGATTTATTTTATAAAAATAATTAAAAGGTCAATAATGGCGGAACTACCATTGAAGGTCCCGTAATAAGCTCATAGGTATAACATAACATGCTCATTTTTCAACCAAAATACATGTATTTGTTATCAAAACACTCACAATTCAACATACAATCACATAGGACAATCAATTTCAACAATTATACATCATACATGAAAGCCCCAAATCAATTTTTTGGGCATTTTTCGAAGAATCTGAGAATCTCAATCAATTATCAAGTCAATTCAAACATAAATCATGGATAAATATAATCAACAATCTTTATTTTCTCTCTCCTCTTCATTCTCTTCAATTCAAGCATTAATCATGGACAAATAAAATAGAGGGATTTAGCATATTGTTGAGGAGAGAGAAAATAGGGGTGGGTTAGGGTGAAGAAGGAGAGAGAAAGTGAAGTAAGATTGAGTGGGGGTATTGTTGTGATGGTGAGTGGAAATGAGGGTGTGAAAAATTGGTACTGCCGTACAAATAATAATTGGACTGGCGAAATATTTGGTCAGACTTGACTGACCCAATAGTTTGTCTATGATCAATTTTTCAATCAAGTGACTACATAAATTACTAGAAGATTATCTCTTCCAAAGAGTAAATGTTGAATCTCATATGCTGAAAAGCAAGAAGGATGTCTTTATTGTCACTTGAAGTATATTTTATACCCACCTATTTTCATAAGAAGTAATACTTTTATACCCACCTATTTTTATACGAAGTAATATTTTATTTGTTTGTTTGTTTTTATGATAAATAAATTAATAAAAGGGCCGTCATCCTTTATCTTATCCTCTCAAGGTATAAGAATACGGAGTAAAATTGTAGAAAACGTGAATAAACGACATCAATCGAACATTCGAACCATTTAAGTGGCAATTCTGCATTAGCATTCGTACTACCACATCATTACACTACAATAGACCTAGTTATTGGGCGAGCCGGGTTAGAGTTAGTGCGAGTTGGGTCAAAGATGGTACATATTATAAGGCCAAAAGTGGGCCAATAATAAACTGGTCAAAAACTAGACTAAGCCATAATTAGATACATACGAATACGATATGCATGTAATTTTTTTTAACATAGTACTATATTTTTTTTATGTTTTAAATTGGACAAATATTTTGTCCCTATATTGACCCTGCACAGTTAGGACTTTGTCCATAAAAAACCGTGTCCATTAAGGATCATATAAGCTTGGCCTTTACCCTATTATTATTGGGCTACTTTATCCAATAGTCAGGTCTACTCTAACTAAGTTTAATAAACTAATGACCATTTTAATATATCTATCTATTTATATTAATCTATACTTAGTATTTAAAAATATAAACAACAAATCATTCATATGCTAGATGTCATTACAAATCACTAAAATGTCGCATGTCCTTCTCCTTAGTCTTTCCTTTGTTGTATTCCCTTTTTAATAAAAATAAACATATTGTACTCCCTCCGATCTGTTCGTGAAAGTTCTACTCATTGCGCGGTCTCCAATATATATATATATATATATAATTCGGCTATGTATAAGTGAAAATTATAAAAAGTTGATATTTGAAAAATTTATAATACGAAGAATCTAATAAGATCCCATATGCTAAATTCATTTACTACGTATATTGAATAAGTCTTCAAATGTGTGGTCAAAGTTATTTTATTTTGACCCTATGAATAGTAGGTGAGTGGAACTTTTAGAAACGTAGGTAATATATTGTTTATGTCTTTTTGCATTCTGTAATTTGCAAATTTAATTATATGAAATGCATAAAAAGAAATGTGTCAACTAAAAATAAACTTTCTATATAAATTGATCTTGAATTAAAATAAAATAAAATTTTAATTAAAACAAACATATTACTCCATATATAATGTTAATGTCTTTATGCCCATTGTGATTTGTGAATTTGTTTCTTGTGAGATGTGGTACCAATATATGGTGGTAGCGGTAGCACATGCAGATCAATCATTTAATGGATGTAACCATGCACGACATACGATGATACGAAGTATATTTGTATGCATGTGACTATGTGAGTCCCAAACTGAACTTTGGGACTAATTCTAATAAGAAAATTTGCATTTTTCAATTATGAGGTTGTAAAATCAAACTCTATTAAGAAAGAGATAATTTAAGATAGGGATTCTCTAACCCTCCGCCCCCTTCATTTTCAAAATAAGAATGTTAATCCGAGTTAGATGGACATGTTAAAAGTTTATGCCCGATAAAACTTGGCCTTCTTCGGAAATTATTGAGCAATAATTGAATACTTCTGTGTGGACAAATTGGACAGAGATCAAGGCCCTGTTCGGTAGCTAGCTTATTGGGGGTATATTAGCTTATTTGACTAACTTTAGCTGATTGACTAGTCAAACAAGCTAATACAAGTGTTTGGTAGTAAGCTTATTGAAAGAGTTTATTCCACTAAATAAGCTATTTTTGAAAAAGCTCATTTTAGGAGCTTTTTCAATTAGTTTATTCATTAATTATTGTGAAATGACACTTATAACCTCATTTAATTTAAAATCCTATCTAAACTACCTACCCCACAATTAGCTTATTGGTCATTTCACATACTCAATCACCTTTAAGCTATCAGCTATTTACCAAACACTTTTATATAATCAGTTAATACAATAAGTTAGTCAAATCAGTTAATAATATCAGCTAGTCAAAATCAGCTAACTCAATCAACTTCAGCTTTTAGCTTTCAGCTTTCTCCCAAACAGGGCCCAAATATATATGTGGAGGACAACTACTTGACAAGTATTGCACAACTAATTAATTACCTTATTTGTGCAACAAATAATGAATGTAGTAAATACTCCGTACAACGGAAGTAGTACTCGTACATTCTTAAAACTATAAAGAAAAAGTGGGAGTGAGGGTAGGTTACCATTCCATATTACATGCATAATACAAATAATAAAACACTTCCTTATCCTTCTAGAGAAATCTAAAAATGGGACATCGCCTTATCCTGTCATCATCAACCATCCTTGTTACCCTCCTCATTCTCTCTCCTCCCACGGCCACCGCGGCCTCTCCCGTCCTAGACACGGACGGGAACCCCCTCGAAGCAGGCTCACAATACTACGTCCTAACTTCAGGCAGGGGAGCAGCAGGCCGCGGTGGCTTAACAGCTGAACCCGATCTTTACGATGGCATTTGCCCTTGGTACGTAGGGCAGTATTTTAGCTGGACTAAACAAGGTAGCCCCGTAAGTTTCCATCCTGCAGACCCATCACAAACGCAGCTAACTCTTGGCGAAGACGTCAACATTGCCTTCGGACCAAGCTACGTCTGCAGAAACCAAGGGGTGTGGCAGCTAGAAACCAATGGTAAAGTATTCTACTTAACGGAGTTATCGGAAACGCCTCGAATAAGGCCGATTGGTTCAAGATCGAGCAAGCTTTTGGACCTTCACCATACAAGATAGTTTACTGTTTTGCCACATATACTGTTACTGATAGTAGTTCTCAGAGGAGTGAAAACTGTCAGCAGTTCGACGCTACGCTACCCGGGCCGCCGGGTAGAGACTGGTCATGGTTAAAATTGGTGCCCATTGATGATCCTCTTCCCTTCTTTGGGTTTGTGTTCAAGAAGTTTACTAGTACTAGTACTAGTACTACTATTTTGAACCCCAAGTTTACTACTAGTAGTATCTAGTTACTCGTAACAATCACTACGAATTAATTTGTGTATGTTGGGGTCGGTCGATCGAGTAGCTAGCTAGCTTGTTCTAGCTAACCGTAACTCATGAGTTATGTACTTTATCGTCTCTACGTTGAAATAAAATAAAGGTAAGGCCATCCTTCTTTAAATTATGACATACTGAGTAGTATTGTTTGATAAACCAAAAAAAATGGAAAAATTGAAAAAATATGTGTTGATAATTCAAAATTCCTATGATTTGGGTAATTTCTAGGAAATTTAATGTAGAAATTAAATTCCAATGAATTGTGAATGCCTATGAAATTTATTTCGGACCCCACATCAACCAAATATTACCATAAATTGAACTATAATAATGTACTCGTATGTTATAGTCTTATTCCAGAGTTGATACACATACAATCATTGTATGTGGTCCCTACATATAATATCATTAGAAATTTGACATACCATAAAAAAGGGAAGAAAAGTAGGAGTCAAATATAAACTGAATTCAAATAGAACTTGGACCCATAATTTTAGCCAATAAAAACATGACAAATTGTGGTTGTATGTAGTGACCACATACAACAATTGTATGTGTAGCCTTTACCGTCTTATCCTAATTTGGCCTTGGTATTGATATTTGCAACAATTATTTGGTCTTGACTTTTCAAAATAAATGTCCCACGGAGTATTTGATTGGTATATTTGTTGATGCAGAATTTTGACTAATAATATATTTAATCGTACAAAAATTTATATTATAAGAAGTTGATATTAAAAATTATGAAATTATACATACAATTATACTCGTATAAAGAACTAATAAAAGTTAAAATGATAAATAAATAAACAGTTCAAAAGTTAAATTAGGACATCTATTTTGAAACAAGTATGGTTTATGCAGGCTACCTGAATGTTGTAGCTGAGCCTTCAATCTCTTTGCGGCCATAAAGATAATAATAATTAATGTTGGTTAATTAGTTTTTTTTTTTTTTTTTTTTTTTTTTTTTTTTTTTAATGAAAAATGTGAGTTTCATCTTGAAATTAACGATAGGCTCCATAAACATCAAAAAGACTGAAAATCTGACAATCTGTAATAGGGACCTCAACATTAAAATTTTTTCTAAGAAGGCGGATACACAATGCTCCGTACATCCGTTTTCTTTTTAAAAAGACGGAATGAACATTTAATTGTTCAGTAAAGAACATACAATTATATTGTAAAGAACATCTAGTTATTTTATAAAGAACATCACATATAGTTGTATTGTAATGAACATATAGTTGTTTTGTAAAGAACATATAACTATTTTGTAAAAAAAAAAAACATCAAACTTTATGTTCTTTATATATATATCTAAAGAACATCCGTAATATCAATAAAGAACATGATAATTAGAGGTGGTTAACTTTAGCCCGGCCCGATCTGACCCAAAGGCGGTTTTAGACAAGCCTAAAAATGCATTTTTAGTTAAAAATCCAAACCCGACCCGAAAAAAGCCCAAAAAACCCGCTATATTTTCCGGGTTTGGGCAAGAGATATCATGTTAAGGCCTGGCCCGACCCGAATTTTTGATCACCTATAATGATAATTTAGTGTAATGAACATTATTTTTATTCAACCACCATAATCTAAAGACAAAATTCAAAGAATATTTCAAAATAAACAATTAACATTATGTCACAAGTAAAAGTACATTATACTAACAATCAAAGAACATGAAGATAAAGAACATTATTTAACATTCTATAACATGTTCTTTTCGTTTTAACTGAATGTTCTATACATTTCTATACAATGTCCTTTACAATTCTATAACATGTTCTTTTAACTTTAACTAAATGTCCTTTACATTTCTATTCAATGATCTTTTCGTCTTTTTTTTTTGGAAGGGATGCACCATACGAAACATGCATCGCATCCGCCTGCAGGAACCACGCATTGCCTCAACATTCCCTTTTAGGATAAATAAATAAAATAATGTTTGCCAAAACGATAGAGTATAATTTGGCTGTTTTTAAACAATTTTGCGGAGTAAAGCACAAATATATTACCGAGTAATATAGTCTCTAAATTATTGTATTTTTGCACTTTTGTTCCCTAAACTACTTTATGAGTGTATGTGCACTTTTAACCTCTCAATCACCCAGTTTGGTGTTTCAATTCTGATCAAATAGTTTAGGAATCTTATTTTATTATTTGTCATTTTTTTTTTCTCTTTTCAACAAAATTGATTTTTTCATTAGCATCAATTAAAAAAACTAAGGGTTCGTTTGGTATAGCTACGGTTTTCTTTTTTCAAAATCACGTGATATTTGTCATATAATAAATTAAAAATTAGTAAAACTTATTAAAATCATGATAATTTTGAAAACTAAAACAAAAAAAAAATGAAAACACCTTTTTCTGGTTTCTTATTTTTGGTTTTTTGTTTTTAAAATAATAGAAAACTGAAAACAAAAACGATGTCAAACAAGTCCAAGTAGAAATTTTTTTTACACAAACAAAAACTTAAAGTAATTAAAAAAACAACACTTTTCTTCAAAAAAAAAAAAAGAAAAAAAAAAGGAAAAAAGTGATACTTATAATCCTAATTTTGCTCAATTTTATTTTAACAATCTCAACTTTGGATTATTTTGGAATAATCCTTACTTTAATTTGGGGTTGTTTACTTTATTCAATCCAAATTACCGGTTACCTGTTGAAAAGATTAAATTTTGACAAATGTCACTTGTCGAGAGCTAATTAGCCGAAAAATAAAATAAAAAATCAGAAAACCCAGTCCCATCCCATCCCTTCCCTGACCACCCCAGTCCCACCGCCCACCGGAACCCTAGCCACCCCAATCCCCTCCCGCATCGAAAAACCCAGCCGGTCAGCCTCCCTCCCCTTTCCCCATTGAATCACCACCCTAATCCCCGTAACCCCCCCTCTCTTCCCTCGAAACACCACCGCCCGATTTGAAAGAAGAGGGCCATTCCCCCAACACAACCACCAAGGAAACCCCTCCCCCACTCCCCAAAACCCTAAATCGCTCCTCCCCTCACCTCAAAACCCTAGCGATCCCTAAACTATTACTGACTAGGATAGGTTCCTAAACTATTTTGTCATAAACTGATAGGTTGTCGTACATCTGTCAAAAATAAATTCCTAACAAAACCAACTAACAATGTAGTAGGATAAGTAGGGTCGAATCCACAGAGAGATGGCTATTCAATCTAGCTTTCAAGGTATGGAGAAACTAAACTATGTCACAAAATTGAGATGTGCCCCCTAATTGGCTCCTAGGTCATTTAACCTAGGTATAAAGGGTTCTGTCACTAAAGTATGTGCCCTCTAGGTCGTTTAACCTAGGTAAAGGGGTTATGCCGTTTTATTTTCATGGCTCCTCAAGAATTGGGCTTGAAAGCTGTTTTTTTCGTGATGCAGACTGGTTCTACGTGTCATATCCTAATTGGCTCTTTTGAGCGTCGGCCTAGGGGACATGACGTGTCACCAGCTCATTAATCCATGTGTCTAGAGTATTTTTACTCTAAACAATTGTTATGCACATTTTCTATACACTTTAAATTAATAAACTTTAATTTCTTTTTTGTATTAATTTTAAATATCGAGCATGGATTGGGTATTATCTAGTGTTTCTATATAAAAAAACATAGAGTAGAGTTTTGAGGGCAAATTCCCATTAAAAAAGACTCCAATTTAGTATAGAGTAATAGACAATATCACCAAATTCACCACTAATGTTCTTTATTTGTTTATCAACATAAAGAGCCAATAAAATTAGAGGTATCAAAAGCAGGTCTGAACCCTCTATCCCACTATTGTGTTTCATTCCATATATCATTCAAATTAATTGGTCCACAAAAACGCTAGAAGGAGGGGTTGAACCTCCGACCTTGTGGTTAACAGCCACACGCTCTAACCAACTGAGCTATTCCAGCTACATTGTTTATGATGGAAAATAATAAAATCTATACTATGCATAAAAATGGTTGAAAATTTGAAATACAAGAAAAAATAGTTCACTTTTTTTTTTTTTACATTGTTGTTTTTGGTTGCTGAATCACATTCCAGGCTTGCCAATTTCATTAAGTGTATATTAACCTCTAATTTTTTGGGGGTGTTTTCCTATTCGATTGCGGTGAATTCTAATACAAGTAACATTTAAATGACATGTCCATCTCAATCATCGGTAGAAATTTTACTTCCAATTTATAAGACACTTATCAAAGTCCGTAAATATGGACACGTGAGTGAGGCTACGTAGGGTAAACACAAAACCTCAAGTATTTTAGAGAAATTTTTGCATAATTCAATAACATCAAATACAAGTTTATCTGCTAGATAAACAAATTTTTTATTTAATATAGTGGCACTTTTGTAAAAGTGGATAGCTAAACATCGCCCGCAAATCTCCACATAAAGCCCACAAATCTATATTGAATTTACCTTATTGCCCTAAACCTAAAATAAAAAAATCTAACCCATACCCACACTCTAATAACCCGAAAATACGGCAATGTCGAGGCGGCAAGGTAAGGACTTGGCGGCCACAGCGGCGGAGGGAAGGACGGCTCACGGTGGCAGGGTTTTTTTTTAAAAAAATTTTTTTAAAAAAAAAAACCAGAAGTGGTGGGGCGCCTGGCCAGGACGCCCAGCCTCTGGTGGTGGCGTCTGCTCCGGCCGCCGGAACCAGGGGGCTGGCGTCTGACCTGGACGCCTAGCCACGGTTGTGGCGTTTTCCAGAGGCGCCACCGCCGTGGCTGGGCGTCCAGGTCAGACGCCAGCCCCCTGGTTCCGGCGGCCGGAGCAGATTCCACCACCAGGGGCTGGGCGTCCTGGCCAGGCGCCCCACCACTTTTTTTTTTTTTTTTTTTTTTTGGAAAATCAGAATTCTTTTATTAATGTTTAATATTTTTGTTTTATGTGTTAATGTTTTTTTTTTCTAATATATATATATTTTTTTTTTGAAAATCAGAATTTTTTGTGTTAATGTTTAATTTTT